CATGTGTGATAACTGTTTTTTTTAAATAAATGACTCGCATCTTTAAAAAAAATTTTTTTTTTTATCTTTTGACCCCTTCACCCATTTCTCCCACTCCCTGCCCCCTACCTCAGGCAATTACCAATCTTCTCTGTATTTATGAGCTTGGTTATTTTTTTTTATTTTTTTAAGATTCCGTATATAAGAGATTGATCCTGCAGTATATGTCTTTCTCTGTCTGAATTGTTTCACTTAGCGTAAGGCCCTCGAGGTCCATCCGTGTTGTCACAAATGGCAAGATTTCATTCTTTTGATGGCTGAGTGATATTACTCTGTGTGTGTGTGTGTGTGTGTGTGTGTGTGTGTATACCATTTCTTTATGCATTCATCCATCTGTGGACACTTGGGTTGTTTCCATATCTAGGCTATTGTAAATAATGCTGCAGTGAACATGGGTATACATAGCATATATCTTTTCAAGTTATTGTTTTCATTTTCTTCAGGTAAATACCCAGAAATGGAATTGCTGGATCATATGGTAGTTCTATTTTTAATTTTTTGAGGAACCTCCATGTTTTCCGTAGTGGCTGCACCAATTTACATTCCTCCCGGCAGTGCACAAGGGTTCCCTTTTCTCCACATCCTCGCCAACACTTATATATTTTTGATAATAGCCATTCTAACAGGTGTAAGATGATATCTCATTGCAGTTTTGATTTGCATTTCCCTGAGGATTAATGATGTTGAGGATCTTTTCATGTATGTGTTGGCCATCTATATGTCTTCTTTGGAAAAATGTCTATTTAGATCTTTTACCCATTTTTTTTTTAATTTTATTTATTTATTTGTTCCCCCAAAGTCCCAGTAGATAGTTGTATGTCATAGCTGCACATCCTTCTAGTTGCTGTATGTGGGACTCGGCCCCAGCATGGCTGGAGAAGCGGTGTGTAGGTGCGCACCTGGGATCTGAACCCGGCGGAGCGCACGCACTTAACCACTAAGCCACGGGACCGGCCCATTCTACCCATTTTTTAAACTGGTTTTTTTGCTATTGAGATGTTTGAATTCTTCATATATTTTGGATATTAACCCCTTATCAGATATATGATTTGCAAATATTTTTTTCCCATTCAGTAGATTGCCTTTCTGTTTTGCTGATGGTTTCCTTTGCTGTGGAAAAGCTTTTTAGTTTGATGTAGTCCCACTTGTTTATTTCCACTTGTAAATCATTGCCAAGACCTATGTCAAGGAGCTTACCGCTATGTTTTCTTCTAGGAGTTTTATGGTTTTAAGTCTTACATTCAAGTCGTTCATCTATGTTGAGTTAATTTTTGTGTATGGTGTAAGAATAGCGGTCTGGTTTCATTCTTTTGCATGTCTAGTTTTCCCAGCACTGTTTATTGAAGAGACTATCCTTTCCTCACTGTATATCCTTGGCTCCCTTGTCATAAATTAATTGACAGTATATGCATGGGTTTATTTCTGGGCTTTCTGTTCTCTTCCGTTGATCTATATGTCTGTTTTTATGCCAATACTACACTGTTTTAATTTCCGTAGATTTGTAGTATAGTTTGAAATCAGGGAGCATGATGCCTCCAGCTTTGTTCCTCCTCAAGATTGCTTTGGCTATTTGAGGTCTTTTGTGGTTCCATACAAATTTTAGAATTGTTTGTTCTATTTCTGTGAAAAATACTATTGGAATTTTGATAGAGAGTGCATTGAATCTGATTGCTTTGGGTGGTATGAACATTTTAACCATATTAATTCTTCCAATCCATTAGCACAGAATATCTTTCCATTTATTTGTGTCATCTTCAATTTCTTTCCTTAGTGTCTTGTAGTTTTCAGTATACAGATCTTTCACCTCCTTGGTTAAATTTATTCCTAGGTATTTTATTCTTTTTGATACAATTGGAAATGGGATTGTTTTCTTAATTTCTGTTTCTGATAGTTCGTTATTAACGTATAGAAACACAGCAGAGTTTTGTGTATTGATTTTGTATCCTGCAACATTACTGAATTTGTTTATTAGTTCTAGGAGTTTTTTTGATGGAGTCTTTAGGGTTTTCTGTATATAATATCACGTCATCTGCAAATAGTGACAGTTTTACTTCTTCCTTTCTAATTTGGATGCCTTTTATTTCTTTTTCTTGCCCAGTTGCTCTGGCTAGGACTTCCAATACTGTGTTGCATAAAAGTGGCAAGAGGGGTCATCCTTGTCTTGTTCCTGATCTTAGAGGAGAAGCTTTCAGCTTTTCACTACGGAGTGTGATGTTAGCTACGGGCTTGTCATATATGGCCTGTATTATGTTGAGGTATAGTCCCTTTGTACAGGCTTTGTTGAGAGTTTTTACTGTAAATGAATGTTGAATTTTGTCAAATGCTTTTTCTGCATCTATTGAGATGATCATGTGATTTTTATCCTTCATTTTGTTAACGTGGTGTATCACAACTTTTTAAGATAAACTGAACTTGTTTTGAGTTCATATGCTGGCAGGCATAAATATGTTTGAAAGGATATCAAGATTTTGTTGTTTTGAATGTATAAGAAAAAGAGGACACATAAATGTATTGTTCAATATAATGAAGAATTAAAAGAGATGAACTAAGTCCTACTTTAGAAAGTGATTAGATATCTGAGAAGATAGTGGAAGCAGGCATGATTGGCTATATTTCATTTAAGGACTTGACAGACAGGAGCTTTTCTGTGAATATGTTAACAACTAACATTCCTAAAGCTTTTTGGCTATTTTTCTTTGTAAAAGCATCACATAGCACTAATACCTCTTCTTTCATATTGTTAGTCTGGTTTTGTTTTTCATTGTTTTTTTTTTTTCTTTTTCTTTTTTTGGATATTATCTTCCCTGTTACTTTTAAACAAAGTCATTTTCCTGTGTTTCTTTTGGAACCGAATGAAGTTCACTCAGTGGGTGGGTTAGCAGGAGATTTAAAGTTTCAGTCCTTCCTTGCCTCTTCAAGTAAGGCTACTATTTGAGAATGAACAGCTTATTGTACTTGACTCCATTTCTGAAAGCATTATCATTAACATGTATTAAATATTGTGATATTATGAATGCTCTGAAATGTCTTCAGGTCTCATTGACATTCTGTAGTTGGGAGAATACTGTCTTAGTTAAAGCACTAACTCTTAAAAGCAATACCATGTGTTCACTATAGTGCCACTCTTGGGGGTCTATCCCAGGGTACCATTGAGGGGAAATTGTTATGGCAGGAGTTCTTCTAATGTCTCTGGCAACTAAACTCTTAAAAATATGGTCCAAGGCCACCCCCAGTGGCCTAGTGGTTCAGTTTGGTGGCCTGGGTTCAGTTCCCAGGTGTGGACCTACGCCACTCATCTGTCAGTGGCAATGCCGTGGTGGCAGCTCACATACAAAAGAGGAAGATTGGCAGCGGATGTTAGCTCAGGGCAAATCTTCCTCAGCAAAAAAAAATATATATGGTCCAGTGTTATAGTCAGATTCTGTTGCATTTCATATAAAGAATTAAAGCAGCTGAGACCCAGGATGCCCATGAATAAATCATGCAACTAGGAAGAAAAGAGTCACTGTCCTGTGTTATCCTGATCTGTTACACTTCAGTCACCAGGACCCTGTGGTTTGCCTAATAATAGGCAAATAATAATAATTCATCAACAGTCATTGCGGCAGTCACTCTGGTAATTATGATTGTGTAAAACTGACCTTTATCAATGGACTTCCCTAGACACATGTCTATGAACTGAAAGAAGATTGAATTTGACAAGTATTTCTGAAAAAGAAAAAAAATTGATGCTTGTTGATTGTGTATTTTCTCTTATGAAAAAATATCCACCATAGCAAAAGAAGAGATTTTTTTAGTGCATATATTATACCCTTTTATCTCCACCCCCAAAAAGCGTTATTTGCCTCACATGTGAATTGTTTACAATAAACATGTTAACTTATTACATGCGATTATATAATATGTGATCCGTGATGTATTTCTATAAAGTAAAGGTTCCACTTTAATTCCAGGACTGTTACTCCACATGACTCTTTTTTTCTTCTCCTCTAGACTCCTCCAGAGAACCCTGGGACAGTAGGTGGAGTGCAAAGCTGTATTGTGTTGCCTTCCTGCTTTTTTTGTTGCCTTCCTGCCTTTTTTTTATTATTTTTGGCCCAGTCTTGGCTGCTCCTTTCTCTACCACTAAAGCTAACTAAACCCTGCATGTGTGGTCATTATGAGGGACTCATGGCCTTTCATTTCAATCCCGCACATTTATCATGTCACTTATATTTCTTGTCAGATCCTTAAAATCAGAATTGTCCCTAAAGCAATATTGTGGTAGGCACTGGAATCTCACCTTTACTTTCCAAAAAGATTTCCCTCCATTTTAAAGCACTCTCTTTCTAATGTCCATGCCCCCTACCCCAAGCCCCTTCCAGTGCTCCAGAATTACCTGGGGTCTTTTTTGTGAAGGGAGAAAATGATTGATAAACAGATACAAGTAAGATATTAACACTTAAGGTGTAACCCCCTCCCTGAATTTTTTATATTCCGAAAGAGGAGGGCAATGTTTAACAGAGAATAATGACTCACTCACTAACGGTGGAATTCCCTGCTTCAGTGACACGGGAGATAGTAGTGTTAGGTGTGAAAGACCTTCCCCCGAGGACGAAAATGGCAACAGCAGTAACCTGCATTGAGGCAAGATCCCATGCATATTGGAAAAACATCCACATTTGTGTGTGTGTGTACCTTTAAGAAATTTTGAACTGGTTTTGATCATCTCATTGAATTTTTGTCCTAAAATGATGTCAGCTTGGTTTGGTTCCTTTTCCTCCTTAGTAAAGTATCTGTTAGAGATTTTGATGTTTGATGTGTCCATGTGATGTCAAGGGGTCTGACTGTCTGCATGATTGTTTATCATTGCTCTGATCCTTTCCAACTACCACAGGAAGAGAGGGGAAGGGACATTTTCGAGATTATGCTGAAATAATAAATTGGCTCTCCTCTTCCCTCTCTGTCTCACCATGCAACAGAGGAAGCAGGCCAGCCCACTGCAGACCCAGGCATGGTCATGGACAGTGTGGAAGCAGGAGACACGACACCTCCCACCAAAAGGAAGAGCAAGTTCTCGGGCTTTGGCAAGATCTTCAAGCCCTGGAAATGGCGGAAAAAAAAAAGTAGTGATAAATTCAAAGAGACATCAGAAGGTGAGATATTAAGATTTAAATATATGTTCTGAGTTAAAAAGTTCACTATTTTGGAAGTACCTAACTTTTTCATTCTCTTCCCAAGCTTCTATAGCCCCCTATTTGAAGAGGGAATTAAATCTTTTAGAATTAAAAAACCAAGTGATCATTCACTAAGCCTTATATTCTATAGCCTCATTTCCACGTTGGTGTTTTGATGGGATTAAAGTTTATCTATTGAGGGGTGAATGGAATTCCTGAACTCTGTAGCAAATCTAAGATGCTTCTTTTTTTCTACTGTGGCCACTTCCTCCTAGAGAAAGGTCATCCATAAATACCTTATTATTGAAATTTCAATTAAAAAAGAGAAAGCTAAAATTATATAAGCTCATTTGGGAACTGATACTTTCCCAATAGCCCAAGATATAAAAGAAATTAGGGGCCGGCCCCGTGGCTTAGCGGTTAAGTGCATGTGCTCCACTACTGGCGACCCGGGTTCGGATCCCGGGCGCACACCAACGCACCGCCTCTCTAGCCATGCTGAGGCCGTGTCCCACATACAGCAACTAGAAGGATATGCAGCTATGACATACAACTACCTACTGGGGCTTTGGGGGGAAAATAAATAAAGAAATAAAATTATAAAAAAAAAAGAAGAAATTAAGTTTTAATTTGACTTTAGTTTTCCTGTTCTTTTGTTTCCTAAGACTAGAAAATCGAACCACTTTATTCTTTTACTTGTGGAATTAGAATGCTTAAAGTTGACCTTTAACTGCCACATGTTTAAGTGCTGTTTTCCAATTTAATGTTAGTTTTAGAGCGAAAAATATCTATGCGAAAACCGAGAGAAGAGCTGGTTAAAAGAGGGGTCCTGTTGGAAGACTCTGAGCAGGGTGAGTTTGCAAATAAATAGCACATGCCTGTCTCTGTATACTTGGTCTTTGGTTCTGACTAGGTATTTGAATTTTCTTTCTTCATTTTGTTATTGCTGTTATTGGGGGAAGAAGGGGAGCTTTTAAAAAAAACTGTTCATGGGGCCAGCCCGGTGGCGTAAGCGGTTAAGTGCACGTGCTCCGCTGCGGCAGCCCGGGGTTCGCTGGTTCGGATCCCGGGCGCGCACTGATGCACCGCTTGGCAAGCCATGCCGTGGCGGCATCCCATGTAAAGTAGAGGAAGATGGGCACGGATGTTAGCCCAGGGCCAGTCTTCCTCAGCAAAAAAGAGGAGGATTGGCATTGGATGTTAGCTCAGGGCTGGTCCTCCTCAAAAAAAAAAAAAAAAACTGTTCAAGCATCTAGAATATATTAAAAAAAGAAAAAAATTCAATAGAAAAGTCTATAAAGACATTGGACAGTTCACTAAAGAGTACAAACAAATGCCCAGTAAACAAATTAAAAAGGTATGTTTTTTTACTTAATTAGTAATTCCCCCCACCCCCAAAGCCCCCGTAGATAGTTGTATGTCATAGCTGCACATCCTTCTAGTTGCTGTATGTGGGACTCGGCCTCAGCATGGCCGGAGAAGCAGTGCGTCTGTGCGCGCCCGGGATAGAACCCGGGCTGCCAGTAGCGGAGCGCGCACTTAACCGCTAAGCCACGGGGCCGGCCCTGCTTAATCAGTAATAAAGGAATACAAATTCAAACCAAAATAAAATAACCCTACATAAAAACTAGAAAGCCTAAAATTAATCAAACAACCAAGAACAAGAGTTGGTGATGGTGTGAAATAAGTGGTATTCACATAAAACTATTAGTGGAAGTGTTAAAATAGAATAATCACCTTGAAAAACAGTTTAGCATAATCTTTGAAAGCTGGAGATATGTAAACCTATGTGCAAGTATGTCCAGTCCTTGGTGTATACTCAACAAAAATGTGTATACATATGTATCGAGACATGTACAAGTATGCTCCTAGCAGCAGTATTTACTAACAATGGAGCAAAACTGCAAACAACCCAAATGTCCATCAATAGTAAAATATATAAATAACTTGTGGTACATTTCTAAAATGAAATATTATACAGCAGTGAAAACAAACTACACCTACCTGCTGTAATATGAATCTCATAAGTAATATTGAGCAATTTAAATCAGTCATGAAAGAATATATATTGTATCATTTCTATAAATGTAAAGGAAAAACAGGCAGTAATGAACTACAGTGTTTGGAGATGCATGCTTAAGTGGTTAAACTATAATCAAAACACAAAGAAAGGACTATTACAAGAGTTAGGAAAGTGATTGCTTTGTTGAGGAAGGAGAGGTATGTTACTAGGGAGAGAGGGAGGCTTCTCAGGAGTCTGGAGACATTTTATTTCTTAATGTCCATGATGATCACACAAATTTTCTTGTAATATTTCATTGAAATTTACATTTATGTTTTGAACATTTTTTTTTCTCTACTGGTGTTATACTTGACAATGAAAAAACTAAATAATAATAAGATATTTCTATAGAATTCAATGCCTTACCCTCTATATTTGATTTATTTAAGGAAGGCAAATATTTTTGTGGGAATGAAAATATCTAACGAAGGAAAAATATTAAAACATAAGTGAAAATAACTGATTTTTTTAAGGAATCTCAAACTTAGGGGTATAAATAAGAAGTGATTTTATTTCTTCTGATAATTACCTCCTAATTTCCTATATGAAAATCCATTTTCCTGCTGGGGGTAGGGGAGAACTGTTTGTGCGCTTCCTTCCAAGTTTCTGCCGTATCTGGCTGTGGTCTTGAACTCTGAAACTGAGTGACTGGTGAAGGATCTGTGGGGCAGACATTCTCAGTCTCTCTGTACATCTTCAGCTTTGTGCTAGCTGCAGTGCTGTGTGTCATTTCCTCTTTTTTGACCAAATTTGTCCCCATGCCTGTACTGCTGCCCTAGTCTTCTATTTGTCTGTAATAAAAATCATGTTTTGGTATTTCAACAATCATTGCCAGTTTAGTAATGTCAGGACTTTCTCCAATGTGTGACTTTTATGAAGCAGCTTATCAGAAGAGTAAGACTATAGTATATTGGTTACATTTCATTTCTCTTCATTAGTGTTACTTTGTGTGAGACAAAATCTGAAAGCCAAGTTTTAAAAATATATCCTTTGGACAATGGGAGAAAGGAATCAAACTGATGGAGTATTATACTTCTTAGATTTTAAATCATGTGAATGTATTGCTTATTTGCAAAATTTAATTAAATTATGTATGTTGAAGCTTTATTATCTCAACTGTGTAAAAACTAAGCAGAGAAAACAAGCTTGAAGGAAAAATAGTAAAATATTATTAGCATTGGTTACTTCTGGATGTTGGGATGGAAATATGGGGGAGTTTTTTCTTTCTATTATTCTGAATTTTCTATATGATTAGTTATGAGCATGTATAACTTTTGTTTTTTCATAAGTCTGTTTTGTACCGTAGGACACAAAACCTAGGTATTTAGGTGGTTAATTACAATTATAGTGCCTCTGCTGCAGCACCTCTGGCCCTTGTGTTTTTGGTATAGCCATTCCTCACCCCATGCCCTCTCCTGCCTCTCACCTTTCTTGCTCACACACCACAAACCTCATACGCTTCTTTCTTGTTCAGTCTCTTTTGTCCTGTGCTTCCTATTGGCTCTTGATCCAAGTTGTTTTTAGCCTACAAGCTCAAAGGCCCAATTAATAAAGGAGTTACAGCCATTTGACAAGATGCCACTCTGCTAACCAGAGAATTGACCTAAGCTTTATTCTGTAAGAAGAAACTCAGAGGTGCACCGTAGGGCCTGAGTCCCATCCTCCTCACAGTTCTCAGAGTTAACCTTCTAAAAGATCAGATCAGATCAGATCTCTCTCCTACTTTAATTTATTGGCTTCCTATTACCCACAAGATTCAGTCCAGGCTCTTTTACATGGTATTTGTATCCTTCATAGCCCAGCTCTTGCCTGCCTCTCCAGTCCTATCCATAGCTATTTCTTTTTTTTTTTTTAAAGATTTTATTTATTTATTTTTCCCCCCAAGGCCCCAGTAGATAGTTGTATGTCATAGTTGCACATCCTTCTAGTTGCGTATGTGGGACGTGGTCTCAGCATGGCCGGAGAAGCGGTGCGTCAGTGCGCAACCGGGATCCGAACCCGGGCTGCCAGCAGCGGAGCGCGCGCACTTAACCACCAAGCCACGGGGCCAGCCCTCCATAGCTATTTCTTATGTGCATCTGTTCTTCTGCCAGACCAAACTAGTTGCCAGTTCCCAAACATGTCGAATAATTGCGCCCCTTCATACATGCTATTCCTTCTTCCTAAATAGACTGTTTTTCCTCATCTTGTCATTGGTGTGGTAGGCTCCTACTCCTCGTTTATGGCCCAGTTTAGCTACCACTTTTCTGTGAAGCTTTCCTTACCCCATTCCCACCTCAAGAGAGTCGTTTCATCTTTATTCCTGCCACATCACTTCATCCATTATAGCTCTTTACATTTAACATTGTAAATACTTATGTATAATAAGTCTCTCTTATTTATGTAGCAAGGTACCTGGCACATAATAGGCAATCAGATGGTTATTGGAAGAAGGAATTACTTGTTTCCATTACTACTATAAAGATCTAAATAATCTAGATCTAAATAATAAGCTAAAACAGGAAGAGGTGGAAAGCAGATGAGAGAGGTTAGAAATCACCAGCTCTTCTCCCTGTCTGACCATGCCAGTTCCGTCAGTTTGCTCTTTCTGTTTTGATCTCGCAGGTGATGAGGATCCAGGGAAGTTGAGCCATGCCGTGTTAAAGAATGGCCATACCACTCCCATAGGGAGTGCTGGATCTTCTAGTCCAGTCCAAGTAGAGGAAGAGCCAGGAAGAATAGCAAGTCTTAGGAAACCTGTTCCAGAAGAGGACCCAAAGAAGCGACTAGGTAAGAAACTTTGGATTGTTGAGTTTAAGAGCCATGGATTAGTCATTCTCCTTTATCTCAAGGGTTTGCAAGAGAGCCAGCAGAGATGTAAAATTCAGAGGGAATTGTCTTCTCCTCTAGCAATTTCTCAACTAGTTGCAACTTTAAGTGGAATTTCCCCCCTCTCATTCTTGCATTCACAAGATACCTAAATTTGTGATTCTCAAGAGCAGAAGAGGATGTTAAAATCTGATACCTGTAGGACTTTGCCAAGCTATACATTCCTCCTCCTCTACCCAAGGGATTTTGATGTGCCTCTCCAGTGGCCTGGCTCTTATATGAAGAATCACTACCATAACGAGCCTCTCTTACTGATTGAGAAAGTGTCATATACCTTAAGTATGTTGAGGTTGGGAAACCTTTGCCTGTAAACTAATCTATAAATTAAATAATTGATGAAATTGACTGTAAGTCTGTAGATGTATTAGCTTTTTTGTCTTGTTACTCTCTTCTCTTTTACGTCTGTTATTACACAGGCTCAACTGGAAGCCAACATAATTCTGAAGCAGAGTCCGTTCCTGAGAATGCACCCAAACAGCCTTTGCTTCCCCCTAAAAGACCCTTGTCCTCTTCTCACGAAGCACATGAAGAACAAGCAGAGGATGCCCCCTCCTCTGGCAGCACGGCAAGGTCCATCTCCTCCGCCACCACCGCCACAGCACCTGCTGCCACGAACCTAGCAAAAACTGTTAACTCCTCTGTCCCCCCTTCCCCAGCACCCAGGACTCTACCTGCTGCTCCTGCCAGCACTAACACTACTGGTACCCCAAGCCTCACTCATACGGTCCCTGCCAAGCAGCCCCCTGTCCCTCCCCCTAAACCAGCTCACAGAAATAGCAACCCTGTCATTGGTAAGTAAGTCTTTAGGTTTCCATTGTTTTGGATTTGGTTTGGTTTTGGATGGTTGTGTTATTGGATAACTGGTACAATACTGATTTGGTCTGTGAGAGAGTTCATATCTTGTCCCTTTGAATGCCCTCAATATAGAGAAAAGACTTAAAAATGAGGCAGATGGCTAGGAATGGAAACAGGCTGGGATCAGATGTCACAAAAGATAGTTTCAAGTTTGGGGAGATTAATATATATTTTCCTAAAGCAGTGTTTCTGAAATACTGTTGGTAGGTAGGGGACTAGACATGTGAAGACCACAACAGGTTTGACCTGCATGGAGAAAAGTGTTTTTTTTTTTTAACCTACTTTAAACTGCCAATGCCTTCCTTCAGCATAAACCCAATAGATAAAAAGATGATTGTATAGATGCCAGTGTAACTTGTGATTCAGTGTCTAGCATAATATCTTCATGCGGAACTGCAAAAGATATTATTTAAAGTGTCCTGATAAAATCATGTTTTATCTTGGGAGAGTTAAGAATGCTACGCTTAATAGAATAAGTGGTGGAAGAGAGAAAGCAGGGAAGATAACCAGTAAATTTTTATTGGTTTAGGAAAATTTTTATATTTACATGAAGTCCTATTTAGGTCTGTTTTCTTTACATAAATGCACACCTTCTTAGAGAATTTTCAAGAAAAGGAGGAGAGGAAGGAAGGTAGTTTTTCAGGAAAAACGATCGTAGGCTTAGTACTGCTTAAAGTTCGTTTTAATGATCGAATGGAGGAATAAAATATGTTCATTAAATGGCTAATACCACCAAGTCATGTGAGGTGACTAGAACTGTGAAAAACAGGCTTAGAATTCATTGTGTGCATGACAGGTTGGAGTAGCTTGATAAAAGCAGGATGAAGGTTATTATTATCACCACCTTGGATGGTTAGTGCCGTATTGACTTATGTCTGAGAAACTTGAGAAGCTTTCATATACTTATTTTTCCAAACCTCTTTGTGAAGTGGGAAACTGATTTTATCTATTATATAGTGAAGGCAATTAGAACATGAAGAAATTGTGACTCACTCAAGGCTGCAGTTAGTGAGAGATAGAAACCAAACATAGGCTTTTCAACTGTCGAGTGCAGACCTCTGTCCTGTACATCTGTGTCCTCAAACTGTTGTCTAACAGGTGTTATCACGATCACCCGGAGGGCTTGGTAAAATACAGATTGCTCAGCCCTGCCCTTAGAGTTTCTGATTCAGTAAGTCTGGGTAGGGCCTGAGAATTTGCATTTCTCATAAGTTCCCAGATGATGCTGATGCTGCCTATGTGGGGACCACACATTGAGAACCACTGCGCTAAGCAATAGTGCTCCACCCTTTCAGGGTAAGACAACATAAAAAATGGTAATGTGTAGTATACCCTGGGCTAACCTGCAGAGGGCCAAAGGTGAATAGCCCAACTGAGGGATGAGTAGTCCTCAGCAGAAGGAGAAAAATAGGACCATTCACAGAGTTTTTATTGAGGTTAAATAGATTTGATTTAAAGGACTATCCTTTGTTCTGAAATTATGACCTTCCTAATTCTTTGATGTTAAAAGGCTATTTTTTTCATGAAAGGATTATGTTCATAAATAGTTTACTAAATATCAAACCTTACTTAAGAGTATTAAAAATTGACAACCTGAGGTTGGTTGAGAATTTCTTTTTAATTATGTTGGTCCCTGAAATCCAAACTTTGGAAACCACTGCTTTAGGCATTGCTGTCTACTAATAGGCATAACAGTATTAGGACTAAAGACTAATTAGGGATATTAGGACTAAGGAAGGACCACCATAAATAACCAAACAGAAGAAGGGAATTTGTAACCCCTCCAACGAACATTCTGGCATCTTTCCCACAGAACTACAGCCAGATGCTGTTGTCAGGGTATATGTACCAGCGTTCACTTCCTTAACATCTTTAGGTGTACGTTTTCCTTAAATTACCTTTAAATTTACCCTATTAATTCAAACGTTAAGATACTCAAATTTGGTCTTGCTGGTGGTGGGTTTTGTTGTAGATGAAATAGCTAACTGCTGTTTTTTAGAGAGGCAGCGAAAGTCTGTTTTATTACCAAAAATATCTCTTTCATTGATCCTAAAATTCACATTTTTTGAATCTCTTTTCTATGTGTATGCAATATCTTTCTAGAAAGTCCTTTTAAAAATTTGCTAACGATGAGTGACATTAAAACATTATCAGATTATCTAGCCTTTTATTTTGCTGCCATTGGAATGAGATTTAGGGCAAATAAATTTTTATTTCAGGGAACCTCGAGGTGCTGCTCACTAGGTAAGACACATGGAACCATTTGAAAACAGTTGGTGGTACAAAAATAAGGGATTTGGGTAGAGGATTAGAGGCTGGTGATCAAGAGAACTACTATTTAATTATTTTGCAAGGTTGTCCCCTGGATGATGTAATGATCCACTTCTTAAAGTCCATTTGGAGCACTCCAAAGGGGCTTTGCTGAATCAACACCTGAGTCATTGTGGGCTTTGGGGGATCACATAGGGATATATACTGTCATGATATAGGATAGGGGCCTCTCATCTAATAAACATATATTGAGGACCCGTTATGTGCCAGGCACTGTGCCAATCCTGTGGGTATGCTGATAGAGGCAAGGGTTACCGTGTCATCAAGGAGCCCATAGTGTAGTGGGAAGCAGAGATTGGGGGGTTGGGCATAAAGGACAACAAGAGGTGTGGACATTAATAAAAATGAAAGACAGTGGGATCCAGGGAATGGAGCCTAATAACAAGACCTGGGAACTAGCTGAGCCCTTGCCAGTTTATAGTATGATCTTGGGCAAGCCACCTAACTTCTGTGGCTTCAGTTTTTCCTTCTATAAAATAGTAAAGATAGTCTCTTATATAAGGAGAATATGAAGTCAAAGATAGAAAAGCACTTTGATTTCTTCAAAGGCCTTTGCATTTGCTATAAAAAGCCAAGATGTCATTATTGATAGTTTCATAATAGAGTTGAGATATCCAGATATCATTCTTTATCAAGATATGGTAACAATGCCTGATAGTGTTTGTTTTTTTATTGCCATCTGCATGTTTAGATTTTAATGGATTACTGTTAGACAAAAGAACTTATTATTCACATTTTTTCTCTCTATTCATATTAACTTTATCTACACCAAGATCAAGTCATAAAAAGTTATCGTATCTATTATCACAGCAAAGAAGAAATTTCTCATCAGAATATTAAGGTAGTAGTCTTTCTACACCTCTATACATTTATTAGGCCTTCTAGATATTTAAATATAAATTTTGTTTCGGGACAAGATATCTAGGAAATGGCAAAGCCATGAAATGGTATAATTTGCCTGAAAGATTAAGATTGAGCTCAGCTCTAATTCTAGGCCCTGGGCTGGCCCCTCAAAGCATTGTAAAACCATCTTAAATTGAGATGTTGCTCTCTCTTTTCCAGCTGAACTATCCCAAGCAATAAACAGTGGTACGATGTTATCAAAACCATCCCCACCCTTACCACCTAAGAGAGGTATTCCATCAACCTTGGTACCCACCTTGGAGTCTTCCGCTGCCGCTGCCACCACAAAATCACCAAGTGATCAGAAAGAGAAGAGCACGTGCTCTGTGGGCTCCGAACCACTGCTGATGATCCCACCTCCCTCTCCATCCCCCCCACTTCCTACTCATATACCTCCAGAACCCCCACAGTCACCTCCATTCTCTGCTAAGACTTTTCAAGTTGTGCCAGAAATTGAGTTTCCACCTTCCTTAGACCTACCCCAGGAGGTTCCCCAGCCGGAAGATCAGAAAAAGGAAGTACCTAAGAGGATGTTGGACCACAGCTTTGGGGAGCCCCATGTACCACCTAGGCTGCCCCCAGTCCCACTGCATATTCGAATCCAGCAGGCCTTGACCAGCCCACTTCCCGTGACTCCTCCCTTGGAGGGCTCTCATAGAGCCCACTCGTTGCTCTTCGAGAACAGTGACAACTTTTCTGAGGACAGCAGTACCCTGGGTCGGACCAGGTCACTTCCCATCACTATTGAAATGCTGAAAGTGTGAGTGCCTTTAAAGCTTGCCTCTTGTTTCCTCTTCTTTTCTCTAGGTAGTCCTTCTTGGAAAAAAACTACTTACAAAAGAAAATGTGAATAAATTTAAGAAAAATACTCAACAAATAGGACACATTCTAGAATTTGGACTTTATTTACCCTCTTGATTCCTATAACATTGTTTCCATGGCATAAGTTTCCATGATGATACAAATATTATAAATTTGTGTACTTGAAAATTAAAGCCCCTATATTTTTTGTGTGATACAAGGGAAGCAGCGTAACATGGTGCTTGAAATCATTGACCTTGGAGTAAGATAGCTCTGAGTTCAAATCCCAGCTCTACCTCTTATTTATTAGCTTGTAGCCGTGTATGTTACTTAACCTTTCTGCTCTTTAGTTGTCTTATCCGTAAACAGGAATAATACCTACCTCATAGGCTTAAGAGAATGAAATTAGACAATTCTGAAAGCACTAGTGCCTGGCACATAAACTTGGTAGAGAGGGACAGAGAGAAGTCTAGAGAAAAAGAAGGGAGTTCTGGGGCTGGCCCGGTGGCACAAGTGGGTAAGTGCACGCACTCAGCTGCGGCAGCCCAGGGTTCGCCAGTTCGGATTCCGGGCGCGCACCGACGCACTGCTTGGCAAGCCATGCTGTGGCAGCATCCCATATAAAGTGGAGGAAGATGGGCACGGATGTTAGCCCAGGGCCAGTCTTCCTCAACAAAAAAAGAAAAAAAAGAGAGAGAGAGAGGAGGATTGGCAGATGTTAACACAGGGCTGATCTCCTCACAAAAAAAAAAACAGAAGGGAGTTCTGAAAGACAGCTCAGTATTTCAGCCCCATAGACTAGAACTAGTCATCTTACTCTCTCCCTCATCTGGCCCCACACACTGAATCTGTCCACACCAGCATTGGTACTTATACCTACTTTGGCCGTCTTTTAAAAATTCAGACAAATTGTGACTGAAGATTAACACTTTTTGGTAAGTTGGAGATTTGCCTTACTAATTGTTATAGAATTGTTCTAGAGCTGTTGCAGCATCCTATTTATTTGTTTTGCCATAATCTTTGTGCTTGCTGGTATTATTGATTTCATGTCCTGGAAAGAGACAGTTTGGGAATTTGAAGTAGACTAAGGCATAGTTTTATGCCTCCAGAGTGTAAAGGGGGGGAGTTAGTTTTTATCTTTACTTCTCTTTGCTTCCTTGGATTAGATTATCATTTTGTCCTACTCCATTGTTAAACAAAAGGGAAATGGATTGTTTTTATTGAGTATCTTACATGAGCCAGGTACAGTGTTAGATGCTGCATAGTCTTCTCGTTTAATCAGACCAAAGCAAACTTTCATTTCACGTGTAGATCATCAGAGCTCTGTGTACCAGACACTAGTGCATTCTAGAATTTGTCTATTTCATTCTCACAAAAAGCGATGAGGTAGGTATCATTCCCATTTACAGAAAAGTTAACTAACTTACAAGCTAGTAAATAAATTTGTAGAGCTGGGATTTGATCCAGAGACCTTTAGACTAAAGGTGCTAAAAAGTTTCTTAGCAAGCTTGCTAAAAGTCAAGGGAAGGAATTATAAATTACTTCATTCATGGAATTTTCCATAGTTATTCAATACTTTGCCTTGCAAATCATTTATCCTTTAAGTTTCTGGAAGGAAAATATAATTATGTTAATTTGTTAGTCCAGACGATGAAGAAGAAGAGGAGCAAACCCACCCATCTGAATTCGATGAAGATGCGGCCTCTACCTCAGTGGTTCCTAAACTACCGCAGTGTCTGCAAGAGGAGGAGGAGGAGAAGGAGAGTGATTCTGATTCAGAAGGTCCCATTCAGTACCGAGATGAAGAGGATGAAGATGAAAGCCATCATAGTAAGGGAGGGAAAAGCAAAGGAGAAAATTATTTTACAGATAAAGCTACTTACTGGTCTTAGCAAGTGTAAGATGAATGGAAACAGGTACCCTCTCCCATCGAGTCATCTGACTGACTGATGTTGGAAGCCACTGTGAAAAACTTGTCCCTGCTATGCCTGCTGTTAAAACAAACCAGTGAGAGGGAGCCAAATAGATTGAGTCAGTCAGGTTTTTATCTGTTTGTTTTTGATTTAAAAAGTTACTTACCTTGATGGTATTAAAGAATGTGGAGTAGAGGAAAGTTGGTATTTGGGCTATGTTAAAAGACAAAAGTGGGCTCCGGCCCGGTGGCGCAAGCGGTTAAGTGCACGTGCTCCACTGTGGCGGCCCAGGGTTCGCTGGTTCGGATCCCAGGTGCACACCGACGCACTGCTTGGCAAGCCATACTGTGGTGGCGTCCCATATAAAGTGGAGGAAGATGGGCATGGATGTTAGCCCAGGGCCAGTCTTCCTCAGCAAAAAAAGAGGAGGATTGGCAGATGTTAGCACAGGGCTGATCTCACAAAAAAAGACAAAAGTGATGCTCTCCTTCAGTCTAATAAACTTACTATGTTTATGGGACAAGGAAAAAAAAAAGATGTTCATGTACACAAATCTGCACATAAGGGAATCCTAATTCCCTAAAGGTAGGGAAGCAGCTTTAAGAATAGGAATCTTATGAGGTGTGCTAGTGCAAATGCCTTTATATTGTAATCCAGAGGGCTATCCCGTGTGTAGATTATCTCTCCTCAAGCAACTCTTAGTAAGGAGAAAAATATAGAGGACTAGTAGAAGGGAGAAGTTGTCTTTAGCCCATCTGAATCCATCTGGCTAAAAAGATTTTTAGATGTCTTCAGCTTTACCCCCACCTCCACGTTAGCTGGATCATTGGAGGCCAAGTAGAAAGCTGGGAGTTATGATATTGTTTGCTGAGACTCTTGCCTATCTCCAGGTAAGGTTGAGCCTTAAGCTTCTACATTTTTTTCTTTCCCGTGGATAAAGGTGCTCTGGCCAACAAAGTGAAGAGGAAAGACACACTGGCAATGAAGTTGAACCACAGACCCAGTGAACCAGAGTTGAACATGAATTCTTGGCCTCGAAAAAGCAAAGAGGAGTGGAATGAAATACGACATCAGATTGGGAACACACTGATCCGGTAGGCCTTTGCTTAGAATAGATTGATTTGATTTGATTATGCTGGTATGTGTGTTGGAGACTGACTTTGTGGTGGAGCATTCATTTATCCTTTTTTTTGTTTTTGTTTTTAGAAATAGCATAATTTTAAAAGATACATGTAGGGCCGGCCCCGTGGCTTAGAGGTTAAGTGCGCGCGCTCCGCTGCTGGCGGCCCGGGTTCGGATCCCGGGCGCGCACCGACACACCGCTTCTCCGGCCATGCTGAGGCTGAGTCCCACATACAGCAACTAGAAGGATGTGCGACTATGACATACAACTATCTACTGGGGCTTTGGGGGAAAAGAAAGAAAGAAATAAAAATTATAAAAGATACATGTACACATTCAGGTATCCTCTAAGAATTTGGAAATTAAGGAACTAGATGGCCCTCAGAGCTTTAAGCCATGAGATAGATATATCTCACAGTTTACACCAGAAGATAGACATAAATATGTTTTTTTAAAAGTTGCTAGAGAATCCAGGTGGTTTCCAGGACAGCAAGACTCCTCTGTCACTTATCCAGTTGCTCAGCAATGAGGTGCCAACCCAATTAAAGATCGCACCCATATTTTTCATTATATCTATTTCACTTGTTCCATGTAACCACCACCTTTCAAAGTGTTAGTATAATTTTCAAGTCAGCTAGAACCAAAAGATAGAGAAACTGAGTGCAGGCCAGCTTCCTGCACATGTAATACACATAGTGACCAGGTATATACACAGATGTTTGCCCATCTCAGATGTTTCTCTTGGTGGAGTGAGGAAAAGGAGGGGGAACTCTTGGCATATTCCTTACAAAATAATCAACTAAGAATATCCATTAATTAAAATATATTTTCCTCTCCTGCCTCAGACACCTGGCTTTGCTGTTGGCCAAGACGGCAATCTTAATGCAGAACTGTGGCCCTCTGAGTGTCAACGAGAGACCATCAAGTGGGGCCGGCCTCGTGGCTTAGCGGTTAAGTGCATGTGCTCCGCTACTGGCAGCCTGGGTTCGGATCCCGGGTGTGCACCGATGCACTGCTTGTCCGGCCGTGCTGAGGCGGGGTCCCACATACAGCAACTAGAAGGATGTGCAACTATGACATACAACTATCTACTGGGGCTTTGGGGAGAAAAAGGGAAAAAAAAGAGAGCATCAAGATTAGGAATTAGTTAAGAATGGGGATCTTTGATAATAGATTTCTTTTTCCTTTACTGCAAAGCCAGTTGCTCATCTTTGAGTGTTGTTTCACAGGTCATAGTCTTCTTAGAAGAGCTTGTTGGACACTAGCAATGAACAATCTGAAATTGAAATCTAAAAATACAAGAAATTAACATTTATAATACCATCAAAAATCTTTAAACATTTATAGATAAATCTGACAAAAGATTGTATAAGACGAGTACACTGAAAAGTATAAAATACTATTGAAGAAAGTAAAGAAAACCTAAATAAATGGCGAGAAATACCATATTCGTGGGTCAGGAGTCTCAGTATTATTAAGATATCAATAGAGGGCTGGCCCCATGGCTTAGTGGTTAAGTGCGCGTGCTCTGCTGCTGGTGGCCCACGTTCGGATCCCAGGCACGCACCGACGCACCGCTTCTCCGGCCATGCTGAGGCCGCGTCCCACGTACAGCAACTAGAAGGGTGTGCAACTATGACATAGAACTATCTACTGGGGCTTTGGGGGAAATAAATAAATAGATAGATAGATAGATAGATACATAAATAAATAAATAAATAAAAAGATATCAATAGAATCAGTGCAATTCCAATCAAAATACCCCCCCAGTAGGCTTTTTTTTTTAATTGAAAAACTGATTCTGAAATTCTTATGGAAATACAAAGTACATAGAATAATCAAAGCAATTATGAAAAAGAACAAGGTTAGAGGACTAACACAATCTTAAGACATATTATTAAGCTAAAGTAACTTAAACAGTATGGTATTGACATAAAGATAAATAAATCAATGGAACAAAAGAGAGAGCCCAGAAATAGATCTCCCATATATACAACACATTTTTTGACAAAGGTACAAAGACAATTTCATGGAGAAAGGATGGTCTTTTCAACAAATGGTGGTGGCACAAAAATAACTTTAATGGATGCCTTGTATCATATGCAAAAATTAACTCAAAATGGATCATAGACTTAAATGAAACTTCTAGAAGAATATGGGTTGACAAAGATTTCTCAGATGTGATTTCAAAAGCATGATTCTTAAGAGAAAAACATTGATAAATTGCACTTCATCAAAATTTAAAATTTTTGTTCTTTGAAAGACACTGTGAGGAAAACATAAAAACAAGCTACAAACTGGGAGGAAATATTTGCAAATCATGTATCTGATAAAGGTTTTATATCTAGAATATATGAAGAACTCTCCAAACTCAGTAAGAAAACAAAAACCCCAATTTTAAAGGGGAAAGGGCAAAAGATTTCAATAGACACATCACCAAAACAGATATACAGATAGCAAATAAACATATGGAAAGATGCTCAACATCATTAGTCATTATGGAAATGCAAATTAAAATCACAATGAGATACCACTGTAAGCCCAGTAGGATGGCTAAAATTGCACAACTTAAAAGACTGATAATACCAAGAGTTGCTGAGGACGAGGATCAGTTGGATTCTCATACACTGGTGGTGGTGACGTAAAATAGTAGAACTACTTTGGAAAACAATTTGTAAGTTTCTTTAAAAAATCAAACATATGATCCAGCCGTTCTGTTAGCTATTATTTGTAATAGCCAAAAGAAAATAGAAACAACCCAAATGTCCATCAGAAGGCAAATAGATGAACAAATCGTGGTATAGTCATGCAATGGAATACCACATAGCAATAAAAAAGAATGTACTATTTATAAAGCCACAACTTGGGTGGATCTCAATAATTATGCTGAGTGGAAGAAGCTAGACAGAAAGAGTACATACTGTATGATTTTACATAAAATTTTAGAAAATGAAAACTAATTTATAGTTACATAAAGCAGACCAGTGTTTGCCTGGGGGCAGGGAGGTTGAAATTACAAAAGGAAATGAGGAGATTTTGTGGCGGAGGATGTACTGGGTAGAGTTGTATCCCCCCTAAAAAGCCCTAACCTCTTGTACCTATGAATAAGACCTTATTTGGAAGGAGGGTGTATGCAGATGTAATCAAGTTACGATGAGGTCATACTAGGTTAGGGTAGGCTCTAATCCAATGACTGGTGTCCTCATAAGAAGCAGGAAATTTGGACACACACACAAATAGAGAACACTGTGTGACAACAGAGGCAGAAATTGGAGTGATGCATTTTCACACAAAAGAACACCAAGGATTGCTGGCCACCACCAAAAGCTAGGAGAGAGGCATGGAACAAATTCTGCCTCAGAGCCTTCAGAAAGAACCAGTCTTACCAACACCTTGAGTTTGGACTTCTGGCCTCCAGAACTGTGAGAGAATAAATTTGTTGTTTTAAGCCACTCCATTTCTGGTAATTTGTTACAGCAGCCCTAGACCAATGCAAGGATGGATATGTTCCTTATTATGAATGTCATGGTTTCATGGGTGTATATGTATATTAGAATATCAAATCATGCAGGTTATTGTATGTCACTTATCCCTTACAAAAGCTGGTTTTATTTTTTTAATGAACATTTAAAAAGGAAAGTCTTGTTTAGAAGGACCAAAAAAAACTTTGAAATACATAAAGAAGTTGTAAATTGTTTATAAAATGAGGCTGGAGTTTCTCTTTGCAGGCATCTAAAGCATTATTAGCATGTAGTTCAAATACTGTCTGAGAAGTATAAATTAAAGGTAAGAGATGAATAACTTTTTGATTCCAGAAGTGACAAGTTGTCATTGGTGAGTAACATCTCAGAACTGTGGATGATATAAGAAACTTCATCAAATATTTCACAGAGAGGACAGAAATTAAAATCATGGAGTTATAGAATATCACTCCAAAAGAGACAACCTCAAATTCCAGTGGTTCCTAAACCACTGGTTTAAAAACCAAAAGAGGGACATCAGAGTCATATGGGAAACATTGTAAAAATATATATAAATATAAAATGTTAGTCCTCATCCTGGTTTCCTGAATCAGAATTTCTATTAATATGCCTTGAGGATCTGTGTTTGATGCTCAAGATGTGAGCAAATCTGTTTGGGAGCCACTAGTCCAAACCTTCATTTTACAGAGGAGTATACTCACAGGCTAACCGAGCTTTTTTGTGGCGATAGGGCTTGTTGACATCAGAGCTAGGGCTAGAATACAGTCCCTCTGTTTGCATGTACAATTCTTTTTTATGTTGTAATATCTGTATTGATACTTCCAACGTGAAAATTGTTTCATAAACAATCAGATAAACAAATGAACTATGAAGGGCCGGCCCCGTGGCTTAGCGGTTAAGTGCGTGCACTCCGATGCAGGCGGCCCGGGTTCGGATCCCGGGCGCGCACCGACGCACTGCTTCTCCGGCCATGCTGAGGCCGCGTCCCACATACAGCAACTAGAAGAATGTGCAACTATGACATACAACTATCGCCTGGGGCTTTAGGGGAAAAATAAATAAATAAAAAAAAAAATTTAAAAAAAAAAAAAAATGAACTATGAAAACAATTTGAAAATTTATTGATTTCTTGTTAGTGTAGGGGCTAATGTAAACTAAGATGGAAACAAATCTTTATAAACAAGATTGGAAGGTTTAATATCGACAATACTCTTACTTATCTCCTTTTTAGACGACTGAGTCAGAGACCAACACCAGAGGAACTAGAACAACGAAATATACTACAACGTGAGTCCAGCTATAAAGTTGTATAGATTTTCTTTGTATATTTCTGACTTGAACATACATAACAGAGAAGAGAAGCATTTTCTGTAAGGGCCAAGGAGAGAGTATTCCAGCCAAGGAAGGACTAGTCATATTTTATCTGCTGAGAGAACAGAGTTCCCCTAAACTTCCTTTACAAGATACCATGATATTGTTTAGTGTACTGGATTCTCCAGAAATTTTGTTCTAATGTTCTCACAGTATCCTGAGACTACCTTGGGCATTTGGAAAGATTTGACAGTGTGTGGTAGATGCTGCCCAACTTTTCTCTGTCTTCAGGGAAGTAAGACAGTAGCAGCGCATTTGAAGGAGATCTTCCTGTTTTAGTGGAATCTGAGGGCTGAGGCCCCAAGCAAGTCCCAAGTGTAGCAGACTTCCTGCCCTTTTCGTCTTCTTAAGACTTTTGGGCTAGCCGCAGTGGCCTAGTGATTAAGTTCAGCACGCTCCACTTCAGCGACCCAGATTGGCTTCTTGGGCGCAGACCTACACCACTCCTCTATCAGTGGCCGTGCTGTGATGGCAGCTCACATTCAAAATAGAGGAAGATTGACAACAGATGTTAGCTCAGGGTGAATCTTCCTCAGCAAAAAAAAAAAAAGACTTGCATACCTCTAAAGTCACGAAATAGGACCATGTATTTAATTTGCTTTCTGTGTATATAATAAACTTCCTGAAATAGCATTTTAATCTAGTACAGATTTGATTTGAGTTTTTCCAGATTATAGGGTGAAATTTGGCTTAAAAACCTCCACACTGTAGAGGATTAGGCTTCATAGGGTTACTTGTGGACGTGCTCAATTTGACCAATCCATCCCCTGTTCTCTCATCACTATTTGAATATATACAACTTAATCACATAGTAAATTTTAAATTGTGGGAGCCTTTTTACACATATCACACGAAGCCTAATGGGATCTCCCTTCTCCCTTCTTAGTAGTTACTTTTGAGCATTCAAAATGTAACTGTTTAAAAGTGTAGGGCCAGCCGCGTGGCTTAACGGTTAAGTGAGCGCGCTCCGCTGCTGGCGGCCGGGGTTCGGATCCCGGGCGCGCACTGACGCACCGCTTCTCTGGCCATGCTAAGGCCGCGTCCCACATACAGCAGCTAGAAGGATGTGCAACTACGACATACAACTATCTAGTCGGGCTTTGGGGGGGGAAATAAAGAAATAAATAAAATCTTTAAAAAAATAAAAAATAAAAATAAAAAATAAAAGTGTAAAGAGCTCGTGGGCAGTACAAATACAGGCAGCTGGCCAGATTTGGTTCCATAGTTTGTTTACTGACTCTTGCTCTTAAGTATTTGACTACACCTGTTGACGAGAAAATTGTCTTGATTAGCCATCTCCAAAGTTAGTGTTTTATTCTGACTTGGAGCCTTTAAGAGATATGGGGGTGTAATTACTGAAAAGTTTGATATGCAAATTGCCATTTTGACATAATATTCTTTGTTTCTGACTGTCAACTATAGCTAAAAACGAAGCTGATCGTCAAGCAGAAAAACGAGAGATTAAACGTCGGCTCACTAGGAAGGTATGCTGCCCAAGTGTTCGGTTTTAATACATCTACTGACTACATGTCTTACATGTCTTATATTTGAATAACTTGTTTGGAAAGAAATGAATTTGACTTGAATTGCCATAGATTGCTATGAAAATATAATACACGATACAAATATAGAAAACAACACAGCATGGGCCGGCTCCGTGGCTTAGCGGTTAAGTGCGCGCGCTCTGATGCTGGCGGCCCGGGTTCGGATCCCGGGGGCGCCCCGAGGCACCACTTCTCCGTCCAACGCGAGGCCGAGTCCCACGTACAGCAGCTAGAGGGATGTGAACCTATGACGTACAGCTATCTACTGGGGCTTTGGGGGGAAAAAACTGAATAAATAAAATCTTTAAAAAAAAAAAAGAAAACAACACAGCATTATCAAAAGCATTGTTTTTTACTATTTAAAGAAAGCCTGGCACAAGAAGGTGCTCAATAAATGTTTGACTGGATATGGGCCGACCCCGTGGCTTAGCGGTTAAGTGCTCATGCTCCACTGCTGGCGGCCCAGGTTCCGATCCCGGGTGCGCACCGACGCACCGCTTCTCCAGCCATGCTGAGGCTGTGTCCCACATACAGCAACTAGAAGGATGTGCAGCTATGACATACAACTATCTACTGGGGCTTTGGGGGAAAAAAATAAATAAATAAAATTATAAAATGTTTGGATAAATTTTGACCTCTTATTTAGTAGACCTTGGATTTTGCTGTAGACTCCAAAACCTGTTGAAATATAGAGACAGTAACAGGAGAAGTGTGTGGCATTCAATTTTGCAAAGCAAACTGGTTGTTTTCTAATCAGGGATAGAACTGAACTGACCCTCAATAATAGGTGAAAAATATGAAAACCAACTGGGATTTTCTACTTGGTCCCAGATCAATTAGGGTAGACTCTTTTCTGTACCAGACCTGTGTTTGCTTTTTTTTTGTGAGGAAGATCAGCCCTGAGCTAACATCCATGCCAATCCTCCTCTTTTTGCTGAGGAAGACTGGCCCTGAGCTAACATCCGTGCCCATCTTCCTCCACTTTATGTGGGATGACGCCACAGCATGGCCTGACAAGCGGTGCGTCGGTGCATGCCCGGGATCCAAATGTCGGGCCGCCAGCAGCGGAGTGCACGCATTTAACCGCTATACCACGCGGTCGGCCCCCTGTGTTCGCTTTTAAGCTCTAGGTTTAATCCTTTTTCCTTTCCTTCCCACCATAATGGTTTGTACTGTAATTGCCTCTGATTCTGGTCTGAGTTCTCTAGATATTTCTTAAAACTTAAAAGAGTGCCCAGGAGAGTGAAGCATGTAGACATTTTCTTCCTGATTTCTCCTACTTCTCTTCCCCAGGAATAGAGGAATTATCTTTGGTAGATAGAGGGTAGCTAGAGGCCATGGCTGGACATAATACTTTCAGATTCAGCAAGTTAGCCGATCGTGCAACCTTAAATCATAATTTATTACAGAATCCGCTGTCTTGGACATTAATTCATATGCCAAGAAAATTCACCCTTAATATTACTCACTAGTAGATATTGCTTTCATATTAAATGCATTCACTTTCTAATGTATTATATATGAATTTATAGCCCTAACCCTTTTGCGGCCCAAAATGTGGTCCACAGACCAGCAGCATTGGCATCACCTGGGAGCTTGTAAGAGACGCAGAATCTCAGGTCCCACCTCAGACCTGCTTAATCATAATCTACATTTTGGGGGCCTGCCCAGTGCATGTGCTCTGCTTCGGCAGCCCAGGGTTCGCAGGTTTGGATCCTGGGCATGGACCTACACACCGCTTGTCAAGCCATGCTGTGACAGGTGTCCCACGTGTAAAGTAGAGGAAGATGAACACGGATGTTACCTCAGGGCTAATCTCACCAAAAAAAAAAAGAAGCAGAGCAAAAAGAACCTACATTTTAACCAGATCCCCAAATGATTTGTATGCATGTTAAAATTTGAGAAACTCTGGACGTGCTGGTTATACTGGTTTATGGCAGTGGTTCTCAAGCTTAGCTGTGCATTAAGGAACTTAAAAAAAACTCCTTTTTCTTTTTTTTTGTATCTATATGAGATGATGAATGTTAACTTATTGTGGTAGTCATTTCACAATATATGTAAGTCAAATCATTATGCTCTACATCTTAAACTTATACAGTACTGTCAGTCAATTATATCTCAATAAAACTGGAAATCTTGATACCCAGAATCACAGGAGTTGGACCCAGGGATCAGTAGTGTTTAAAGGTTCCCACATAATTCCAGTGTGCAGCAAAGGTTGAAGCAGTGGTTTAGAAGCAATTTGAATGCATGATTGATGCCTAATTCCTGGCATAGTGAACTAAGAGACTCCATTTCTTTCAGCTCAGTCAAAGGCCGACTGTGGCTGAACTACTTGCCAGGAAGATTCTGAGGTTTAACGAATATGTGGAGGTAACAGATGCTCAAGATTATGACCGACGAGCTGACAAACCTTGGACCAAACTGACCCCTGCTGACAAGGTTTCTGTCTGTTGTCTGTCTCTCTTTCTTTTCTTTATTTGAAGGATGCAAGACACTAACTAGAAGGGGTGACCATAAACAAAATTTCTACTTTTGATATAGTATTAAACTTCTAATCAAGATACAAAATGCTGAGACATACAAACCAAAACTTTATGCTAATGACTATACCACCAAAACTGAAAAAAAATCCATACTACATCACAGAGTACAAAAATATGGAAGGAAATAAAACACATTTTTAACAGTAATGTTTGGTTGGAGGGAGTTTGAGTGGAATATATTAGTAATTCCCCATATTTCACTTTTATAACAGGAAAAGCATTTTTACATACTGTGGAAACTATAAAAGCTGCAGTATCTCTTTTAAGCTTTTCCAGTGTTTTGATTTAATTGGAGATTTTAGGTTTGTTATGAGATGAATGGTGTCAGGGAAGGGGATGTTCATCGGGCTCAGAGTTTCACCCAGTACGTTGACCTGGTTTCTTTCCTCCCTCTGGCTTGCCAGCCGTGGGTTGCAGTGGCTCATAAGGTTAAGCATAATAGAGACTAGATGGCAGATCTCACTGCTATAGTATAGCAAACACAAGATGCTGAAACATTTTGGTTTCTACTCCACAGGCTGCCATAAGAAAAGAATTAAATGAATTTAAAAGTTCAGAGATGGAGGTTCATGAAGAGAGCAAACATTTTACACGGTAAGACCCAAAAGACTCAAATACTGTGAGCTAAGTAGAGTTGCACCAAAAAACAAACATACCAGAGTTGTTCAGATAGGAAAGACTCTAATGACATCGTTAAAAGAAAGACACTCAGTGAGTGGTGATTGCAAGAAGACTACATTAAGAGAAAGGGATGAGAACTAAGAGGCAGTTGTAAATGCCTATACTGAGTGTGGCGTTTTACGTATATTATCTTATTTAATCCTCACGATAAACCTGCAAGGTGTGTTAATATCCCCATTTTATTGGTGAAGAAACAGGCTCAGAAGGGTTAAGAATCTTGCTTGACTTCCTGCTAAGTTGCAGAACCAGGATTTGGAGAAAGGAATGAATGACTAAGAGGCCCCTGAGTGCTCTCCTCCCTGCACCTCACTGTCCCAGGTTATGTATGAGGAAGTTGTTGCTGAGTTAGACAAGATCTTGCCCTCTCTGGTTTCAGTTATTGCTAGCACAGTTGATCTTACCAATTTAGTGTATAAACTTCATTTTAATTAGCTGTCTTCATGAAACAAGCCAAGAAGTATTTTGATTTGGAATTCCTGTTGTGATTAAGGACCCGCCCAATGCCTAAAGAATCAGCTAGCCACAAATGGAATCAATGGAAGTATCTAGGTGACTCTCAGAACATTTATAAAAAGAGGCTAAATGAAAGAAGATATAATGACAATCACAGTTTTCTATAAAAAGAAGGACCAAGCAAAGTTGGAAAATAAAATATCGTTTAACGTTTTTCCACAATACAGGAAAATGGTTATTTTAATTACAGAATTTTCTTGTTCTGAAAGAAGTAGAAAAGTCAGAATTAGAAAGAAGTAGAGGGCCGGCCCCGTGGCTTAGCGGTTAAGTGCCCGCGCTCTGCTGCTGGCGGCCTGGGTTCGGATACCGGGCACGCACCAATGCACCGCTTCTCTGGCCATGCTGAGGCCGCGTCCCACTTACAGCAACTAGAAGGATGTGCAGCTATGACATACAACTATCTACTGGGGCTGTGGGGGAAAACAATAAAAATAAATAAAATTAAAATTAAAAAAGAAAGAAGTAGAAAAGGCAAATTCTTTGAACAGCAATAACTATTCAGGATACTGTAATATGAACTCAAATGATAAACCATACTAGCCAGCAAGGAGATTGTGGTCTAATCTGGAAAAAGAGCTGTGTGCTACTAAACTATAGTACAATCAATATGATGAATGCCTCAGTCATTCTGAGTCCTGAATCTGCCAGCTTTCATATCCCAACTCCATTTCCTAGCTATGTCAATGTCAGCTTTTTTTTTATTGTTATTAGTAATAGTAATAAAGTAGTATAGGGAGCAACAATAAAGGAAAGAGTCATAGGGGTCGGCCTGGTAACATAGTCGTTAAGTTTGTGCGCTCCAGTTCAGTGGCCTGGGGTTTGCGGGTTCGGATCCTGGGCACGGACCTACACACTACTCATCAAGCCATGCTGTGGCGGCATCCCACATACAAGATAGAGGAAGAGTGGCACAGATGTTAGCTCAGAGCCAGTCTTCCTCACCGAAAAAAAAAAAAGGGTCATAGAAAGAAGGTGACATTTAGGCTGGATCTTAAAGTATGTAAAAGAATTTATTTGGACTGGAAGGAAGGAAAGAACATTTGAGCAGAAAGACCAGCTTTAGCAAGGCGATGGGAGGTACGAAAGTGCATGTTGTTCTGGGTAACAGAAAATGTAGTTGGAGCAGAGGACATATGAGGTGGTGTGGTGAAGATGAGACCTGCGAGATGGGTTACAGTCACACTTTGAAGAGCTTTGACATCATGCCAGGATGTTGGAACCATTGGAGTTCTCTGTATTTCAGAACAAGCTCTGGTGGAGCTGTGGAAGGCGATATGGAAGGATGAAGAGACTAGCAGCAAGGAAACCAGTCAGGAAATCACTAAAATAGTCATAGTGAACGTACTCGTAGCTCAAACCAGGGAAGTGATAGTGAGAATGCAAAAGAGATTTGAAAGACATTTCAAGCATGGAATCAACAATATTTGGCAATCTGTTGATTCCAGGGATAACTTAAAGGAAGTAGTCAAAATGACTCTTAGATTCCTAACTTGTGATTTTTGAGGTCTGTGAAGTCCGTAAGGAGTTCAGGTGAACAGTTTAGGACATTTATTCAGTAAATATTTATTGAGCACGTGCTACATGATAGATACAGTGCTAGGTATTTGGGATATAACAGGGAACAAGATTAAATCTCTGTCCTCAATGAGCTTTTATTGTAAAAGAGGCATGCAGACAATAAACAAACTGGAAAATAAATTAAATATATTGAGTTTGACGAGCCTGTGACACTCTGAGGTGGAGGTGCCTAGAAGACAGTTGGATATTCAGCCTAGAGTCCAGGGAGAAAGCAAGGTCTAAAGATACAAATTTATGAGAAAAGATAGTGGTTCTTAAGAGGAAAATTGTTTTGTATTTAAAGGGTGGACAGAGGAAAATGAATAAGGAAAGCATATTGAGGAAAAAGCAATTAAAGAAGAAGGAAAACTAGGGAACAGATTGTGTTACAGAAGCAAGAGAAGAGGCCGGCCCTGTGGCTTGGTGGTTAAGTGCGCGCGCTGCGATGCTGGAGGCCCGGGTTCTGATCCCGGGCGTGCATCGAGGCACCACTTCTCCGTCCATCCTGAGGCCGAGTCCCACATACAGCAACTAGAAGGATGTGCAGCTATGACATACAACTATCTACTGGGGCTTTGGGGGGAAAAAAATAAAATAAATAAAAAATCTTTAGAAAAAAAAAAAGAAGCAAGAGAAGAGAGTTTCAAGAAGGAAGGAAGACAGTCAGGAGTATCAGGTGCTCAGGTAGAACTAGAGTGGAGGAGAGGCTATTTTTTTTTTAATTAGAGCATAACATTTAATTACTATTAATATAATAATAGCAAAGCCATCTACGATATCTAGTAACTTGGTTCTTTTTGATCATTTGTTTTAGCTACCATCGTCCATGACGCTAAAGTTTGAGAGAGGAACTAAACAACCCCCCAAAACAGGGCTGCTTTGCTGCTTCAGTCTCCAGAGTGACATGGAGGGAACTTCAGCACTTCCCAGCACAGCCAGAATTGAGTCCTCTGGGATTTAGTTCTGGGGTGAACAGCACTTCTATGAATGTAGCATTTCACTGGAATAGATTCTCATGTGTTGCCTTGGGCAAAGCTAAACACTTTGTCAGTGCTTTTGTACTTTTTAATATTGCAGCATACTTGAGGGGGTCTTCCGTCACCAGCCGCCAACGTTCTGGGCCACTTGCAGGTTCCAAGTTTTATTGGCTACACCACACCCTCACCCCAAGATGACTGCCTGTGCTGTGGCACAGTTTGCACCATTCACCTTACCTGCCCTGATCCGGTTGTGAGACCCACTTGTGTAGGCGCTAAATTCCAGCCATCAAATCCAATTGGTGGTGGGGAAAACCTTCTGGCAAAGTGGCCCCCACTCCAGGGAAGCCTTCATACCACACTGGCATGTCAGTTGAAAGCGTTGCACTATACCTCTTATAATACAGCAATATAGTCCTCTTCAGGCAGCCCAGCCTGAGAGAAGCTCAGGATCTGACATGTTCTTCCTTTTTGGCACAAGTCATCCTGATTTTTATTTAAAAAAAAAAAAATCTTGAAGAAATGGTGGAAACTTATGTTTTTCCTGTCTATTAAACAATCTGAGCTGCAACCAGATTCCAAGTTGGGAAAATGAGAAAGCATATATGTTTTATATACATAAAAACAAAACCAAAAAAGGCCTTTATGTTAATGCCAACTTGGCAGAAAACTAACTCATGGCTTAAATTTTATAGGCGGTTGTACTTTGTTGTACCAAATGATACTCAATCATTCTGACCAACAGTTGTATTCTCCCCCATAAAGCAGAGTTGTGGGAGCAGAGTGTGTGCTTTCGGCACCCACACTTCCAGCCAGAATCACGGCAAGGTCTTAAGGATGTGGGGTGCTAGATGGGAAAAGGCCTTTGGAGAAGCAGTTGGGAGGGACAAAATCATGACCCGCTGCTCCCCTCTTCTCCTCAGTGCTGTTTGCCCTGTCCCTCTTCACTCCAAGCACTGATCCTCCTGCTGACCCTCTCTGGCAGCTTCCACCTCACTCAGCCCTCCTTTTCCAAGCTGTCCCCAGTGCCTGAGCATTGGCACGGCCCCGCCCCTTTTTGTATTTGTAATATATATTAATATGATTTTCTAAAACAGAAGATTCAGTTGCTTTCTTTTTTATTGAAAACTATACAGCCTCACTATTTCCCTCTAATTTCTATCCACACTAAGTGGAAGAAAAAGAATAGTTTCTGTTTAACTGATGAATGTGGCTTTTTCCCTTTACTTTGATGTTCAGAAAATTGTGGTGGTTTCATAGATTTTTTTTCTGCTTTATTCTGCACTCCCTGTTGTTCTGTGTGTAATCTTTCAGTAGATTTTTCTCTTTCTCTCTTTTCATGTCCATGTAAGATTTACTGAAGAATCAGAATATCAGCTCAAAACAAAAAAGCTAAAGTGACCTTAAAAGGTAGTGTCTTCTCTCTGTATGGGGAATAGGGAGGTATTTGGATTTCTCAGTGACCGTAAATGCTTTATGGCTGGGGAGATGTACTGGGTCCACATCTCCTTGAAGCTCATTAACATTTGGTATGACTGAGGGAAAATATGTGACACTTCTACCATGTTGTTAGAGGTCTGTATATAAGGTGGCCACACATTAACTGCTAACTTGACTTCTTCTAACCTTTTTATCTTGTTGGTTTGGAGACTACTTGGCTTATATCAGCATTCTCAGTGGCTTGAGAGGACATTTTCAAACCCTTCCCTCACTGCCTTGCTTTCCCTTTATGTGCCAAGCTTGAAACAGGATTTGATTTCCTGAGCTACTTGTCTGCTTTCTATGTACCACCAAGGAATCTAGTTCATCTTTCATCTCATTCATGTTCTTTTGAAACAAGATACTTTGGGGGTCAAGTCTTTTCAGGTGTTTTTATATATATATATATATATATATATAAAGGATTTTGTGTTCTCTTTCCATGTAAGTAACAATTCACAATCATAATGTAAAGAAATAAAAGGCCCCATGTATTGTACTTCAAGATACTTCCCTGATGTACAGAATCTCCTTGTAAAATAAATAATTGCATTGTATATCAGTCTTCCTATCAATATTAATTATTAAAGTATTTTAGAATTTAACAAAACCAAACTATACTATCCTGGTGTGAAGTGTTTATTTTTTTATGTTCGACCTTATTCCAAAAGATTTAAGCCAGCTTAAAAATGAAACCTATGGGGCCGGCCCCATGGCTTCACGGTTAAGTGCGTGCGCTCCACTACTGGCGGCCGGGGTTCATATCCCGGTGCGCACAGACACACCGCTTGTCCAGCCATGCTGAGGTGGCGTCCCACATACAGCAACTAGCAGGATGTGCAACTACGACATACAACTATCCACTGGGGCTTTGGGGAGAAAAAGGGAAAAAAAAAAAAGAGGAGGACTAGCAATAGATGTTAGCTCAGGGCCGGTCCTCCTCAGCAAAAAGAGGAGGATTGGCATGGATGTTAGCTCAGGGCTGATCTTCCTCACGAAAAAATAAATGATACCTAAAATATTACTAGACACCTTAAATAAGCAATAGATGAGTGGGGGTGTTATGAGAGGTTCGGGGATTCGATCGGAGACGTAAAAGACACTTTCCACTCCAAACAAATGGACTGAAGGTATATTTTATTATATAGAGGATAGTAAAGGTGACAGTCTGCAAACAGATCCAAATAGGTCAAATATTAAGAGGGGAAAAACATCAGCCCGACTGGAAAGGGAAAATACCCACATCAGCTGAAGAGAAATGACACAAATCAACCAGAAAGAGAAACACCAGGTTAACCGAAAAGAGAACACATCAAATCAATTACTTCATATCAAATCAATTACTTCACATCAAATCAGTTACTCACAACATCCACGCCCCACTGCCGGGAGAGCTCTGTCAATCGACGCGGCTGGGCAAGGATCACACGTCCTGGGCAAGGTGTCCCTTCCACAGGTGGAACTCTCTCTAGGTGGAACTCTCACCCGGTCTCAGTTTCCAGCAGTTTTTATACCATCAGTAATTTTCAGAGTAAGCAATTACAGAGTTTGCAGAGCAAGCATTTAGTGTTCCCATGCACAAATGGTTATCAGTGACGTACGTGCACTGAGCCCCCTGGCTAACGTCCCAGCCCAGTAGTTGCGTACGTGCATTGTTCTCTTTGGTTATCGTCCCAGCCCGGCACAGATGGCCAGTCCATCCCGTGCTACGACGCTCCAAGAGCCTTGAAATGTTACAACTTGCAACTCCCTCCGTGAGAGAAGGGCCAGTTCCCACCACACAGAAAGCAGCTTTGTATTTCTTTTTTGTGCTGGTGGCTGTAGGTCAATGGAGCGGCCAAACATGGCTGTACTCATGTCAAGACAGGGGGCGAAAAATAAAAGTAAGAACCTTAACTGTAGCCGGAGATGAAGGTCCATCATGTTCGTGTCTGTCTGTACACACATATGGAAAAAGAATAGCCAGCAGAGAGGGAAGGCAACTGTGATCCCCATACTCTGCAACAGGTTCTGCACTAGGCCCTTTATGCTCTTTATCCCACCCCTAGTCTGAGAGGTACATGGAAATATAGTCATTTTACCAGTGAAGAACCTGAGAGGTGAAGTTGCTTCGCCAAGGTCAAAGCAAATTATGTAGTCACTCTTTGCATATATTCAAGGACAAGCAATTGCATCCCAATCAGTTGTCCGTACAAGGATTTACTGTGTGTGGACTACATATAATTAGGCCTCAAGCTGACATCACAATAGGGCAGTTGATACCTCATGTACTCCCTTCTGGCAAGCGCCCAGTTTCCATCCAGGTGGCTTCACCAATGACTCACTTTCTGCTTGTCACTTCAGAGACTCCCCTTGATTACCATACCACCCTTTACCAAGGATTAAAAGAAACCATGAGTCAGAACTGCTCGTGTCATTGGGTTCTACCTGCCCCCGGATTTTCCTTGTACTGGCCTTCCAAAGAGGCCTCAAATTACCCTTTTGACGTTAAGCATTGTCTCCAGAAGGATGTTTTGATGGTGCACATCGCCCAGTGTTCGCTGAAGCAATGAATGAATTTAAGAGACCTTATGGGTTTAGATAACTGTACCCCAGGAGAGGAAGGACTGTAGTTGGAGAGTGAGGAGTTTGGAAAACCACTCAGAAAGGGCAAGTCCAGTGGATACTGAATGGGAGTGGAGGGGATAGGAAGTGTACATATTAAAAATGAGAATGGTGGGCCGGCCCTGTGGAGTAGTGGTTGAGTTCCGCATGCTCTGCTTTGGTGGCCTGGGTTCGAGGGTTTGAATCCCAGGTGCGGACCTATACCACTCAGCTATGCTGTGGCGGTGACCCATGTACAAAATAGAGGAAGATTGGCAACAGATGTTAGCTCAGGGCTAATCTTCCTTAAGCAAAAAAAAAAAAAAAGATGAGAATGTACAACAAGGAAAAGCCAAGCCCTAAAACCAAAACACAATCTAAACCACTGTTTCAATTCCAGCCCTAGGAAGCATGAAGGGAAAAGCAGGAACCACCAGCAACCTGGACAACTTGCTCTATCTGCCTCTTCTGTGGATACCATTAATTTCTTCCCCCAAGAATGTCTGCCTCCTTCATGAAGCATAGAAGCCCTCTGAGAGGAACAAACACTCACAATTTCCCTCCATCTGGTACTGAGAAAACACCATTCATTCATTCATTCATTTGTTTAATGTTTATCTCCCTCCTACCCTGCCAAAAAAAAATCTTCCCTTTACCCTATTTTCTCTTCATCCTATTGCCCTATCTCCTGCTTTTCCTACACTCCCTTCACATAATCTATTCTAACTTTTAAACAACTTCGATTCTCGTACAGTCCTAGAAGTTGAGCTAAATGAATGACAGGTGGAGGAAAAAGAAGTGATGGAGATGTAAACTGAACAGGCTTCTTGACACGGGTTTATGACCTCTGGTCTGCACATAGTTTTCCATTTCTAAAGCCATGTTCACTCAACTTGTTAAAATCTAAACTAAATCCGAAATAAAATGGCTTTCCTGAGGTTACAAGTGACTTCTCAGTTAACCGCCACATCCAAAGCCTGTTGTCAACTCTTAATGTATTTGACTATTCTGCAGCATTTGATGCTTTGGGCCATGTCCTAGTCCTCAAAACTTCTTCCTTGGCTTCTCAGACACCACTGTCTCCTGGTTCTCCTCTGATCATGCTTTCTCTGTCCTGCTGGCTTCTTCCCTGATCACCATTTAAATGTTGGGTTTTCACATGTTCTCATCACTCTCCCTGTTCTCCCAAGGTGACTTCAGCCACCACTCTTATTCTGACAACTTCTAAATCTTTATCTACAGTTTAGATTTCTTGCTGAATCCAATTGCCCTTTAGACATATATACATCCAAACGTTCCTGAGGTAAACATATGAACCTCCAGTGTGGACCTTACTCTCTACCTCACAGCCTACTTTCTCATTTATCAGAGTTAAAGACCACCATATGTTCAGGCTCCCAAGCCTGAAACTTTGGTATTATCTGCAAGCTCCTCTCTTACGTTGCAAGTCCAGTGGGACACTAAATTCTGTGCAATCTCTACCTCAGAAATATCTCTCGACTCCTATATCTCTTCTCACTTTGTTTACCATCTGAGTTCAAAGTCAATATAATTTAATGGGACTTTATTTTTTTACTTATTTATTTTTTTGTGAGGAAGATTAGCCCTAAGCTAACATCTGTTGCCAATCCTCCTCTTTTTGCTGAGGAAGATTGGCCCTAGGCTGCCACAGCATGGCCTGACAAGCAGTGCCTCGGTGCGCGCCGGGATCCGAACCTGCAAACCCTGGGCAGCTGAAGCGGAATGCATGCACTTAACCGCTATGCCACCAGGCTGGCCCCTAATGGGACTTTATAATCTCCAGTTTCTCCAATCTATCCTCCAATATTGCCACTAGAGTTACCTTTCTAAAATGCTTGTCAAGCCATGCTGCAGTGGCGTCCCATATAAAGTGGAGAAAGATGGACACGGATGTTAGCTCAGGGCCAGTCTTCCTTAGCAAAAAGAGGAGGATTGGCAGATGTTAGCTCAGGGCTGATCTTCCTCACACACACACACACACACGCATAAGTCTAGGCAGTTCTCCCTTTAATGTTTCTCATCGAGCTGACTTCTCACCCTTCCTGGGAGACTATAGGCCTGCTAGTTAATCATCCTGGAATGCTGTCATCATCCACACCCCCCCATTTGCTAGTCCTTCAAGTTTTAGCTCAAACTTTAACTCCCCAGGAAAACCTTCTCAGCCTTTATCGGATTGGTTAATTGCTCTCCTCCAGCATTCTCAGAATACTTTATCCATGCCATACAGCACTCATCAAGTATTAGTATAATTTGCTGTCATGTCTATTTCCCCCATTGTGCGCTCTCAAGGAAAGAAAAAGTGTTTCATCTCAGAATCCCCAGTGTCTAGCACAATGCCTAGCAAATAAGTCATATCCACTAAGTACATGTTGAATGAGTGATTGAAAAGTAACTGAATACTGGTAATATTGCCAGAGAAACAGCAGAATTATTTGTCTTCCCTCCTCTAAACTACTGATTCTCAAACATTTTGGCTTTGTAACCTCTTTACAATTTAAAAATTTTTTCAGAATCCCAAAGAACTTTTATATCTGTGGGTGATACTACTGATATTTATTGTACTAAAATTATAACAGAAATTTTAAAAATATTTATAATACATTTCAAATAATAACCCATTAGTACATGTTAACATTAATAATATATTTTTATGAAGAATAGCTATTTTCCAAAAATAATTAGAAGAGTGGCATTTTTTACATTTTTTGCAAATCTCTTTAATATCTGGTTTAATAAAGAAGATAGTTCAATTCTCATATCTGCTTCTGCATTCAGTTACTGTATGCTGTTTTGGTTTAAGTAAATGAAGAAAATCCAGTCTCACACAGATATAAAGTTAGTAAAGATGTCAGCTGTTTTCAAGTAAAATGGTATTCTATGAAAAAATGCAGCTATTTCAGCTCAAACCATTGCATAAGCGCTTTTCCTAGAGACAACCACTGTACTTTTGTATGCAGCGAAAGTGTTTTATGTGTACTTCTCACTTTGTCACACAGAATATTAAAAAGATGGATAC